AAGGGTGTAACATATTTTCTAATGAAAATGTACAAAAATTTTTTAATTTACAAACATGTTGATTTAATTTCTTTAGTTAATTCTAATATGACTGTAAACATTGGGAATGACACTTTGTAGGTAAAGGTCCGGCATGCCAAATATCTTAGCTTTTTTTTTTTTTTATTTCATTCTAAAAGTCTGTATTAGCTTGTTTAACTGACATGCCCATCAGTAGAGAACCATTTAAAACTGTATATAATTTATGTAGAGGGTCATCTTAGAATCATTCTTGTGAAGTTTATTCAAAATCCATCTTGCAGGACAAACTTAAGGACGTTTTCGAGGGGTTTTCATATAGACATATAGGCAAAATTAAAACTGTTCAATAGAATTTCTTTAAACTTGGCATGTTGTTAGAATATGATAATAGAAACATTTAAACGAAAAAAAAATTGGGGTCACCGTTCTCATTTTCGAGTTATCTGCCCCTGAATCAGAATTTTCTACTTATTTGAGGTCATTTCAAGGGCAGATAACTTACACATACTTAAATGAATTTTTGTTTTTAACACTGAATTATGTTTTTGTGCCCCCACTTTAGTGGCGGGCATTTAGATTTACCCTTGTCCGTCTGTCCATCCGTCCGTCCTTCCATTCACTTTTGTGTCGCACGTAACTCAAAAAGTATTTGACCTAGAGTCATAAAACTTTATAGGAATATTGATTAGCATGTGTAGTTGTGCACCTGGGTATTTTCGTCTGGATATTTTTAGTATTTTTAGAGTTATTGCCCTTGACTTAGTAAAATTTTGCAATTTTCAACTTGTGTCGCATGTAACTCAAAAAGGATTTGACCTTAAGAGTCATGAAACTTTACAGGAATGTTGATCAGCATGTGTAGTTGTGCACCTGGGTATTTTCGTCTGGATATTTTTAGTATTTTTAGAGTAATTGCCCTTGACTCAGTAAAATTTTGCAATTTTCAACTTGTGTCGCATGTAACTCAAAAAGGATTTGACCTTAGTATTAAAGGGTCATGAAACTTTACAGGAATGTTGATCAGCATGTGTAGTTGTGCACCTGGGTATTTTCGTATGGATATCTTAAGTATTTTTAGAGTTATTGCCCTTGACTTAGAAAAGTTTTGCAATTTTCAACTTATGTCGCATGTAACTCAAAAAGGATTTGACATAGAGTCATTAAACCTTATGGGAAGGTTGCTCAGCATATTTAGTTTTGCACCTGGGGTTTTGCTTGTGGATTTATCAGTATTTGTAAAGTTCTTGCCCTTTAATTAGTAAAAGATTTTTAGTTTTCAAAAAATATTTGCTCTAGATTCATAAGATTGACAGAACAGTGGCGCGGTGGGGGCACCCGTGTCCTATGGACACATTTCTAGTTCTTTTTATTGTTGAGTACAATACATAATTTCAGGCAATGCCTTAAATCGTTTCTCTTATTATTTTTTTTCAGTGAAAATAAAGGTACTTTAAATTCTTATAAAATAGGCCATTTTTTACGAAAAAAATGCACAGGTTAAAAAAAGAAGTGGAAAAAAACCATCCACTCTAAATTTGTTCTTGAAATTTTGCATATCAACTAAAACGAAGGTAATCTTCATGAAAATAAGAAAAAAATTGTATTGTTTCCCTTCATTGTAAATTATCTGCCCTTGAATTTAACAAAAAAGTCTAATTCAAGGGCAGACAACTCGAAAATGAGGACGGTGACCCCAATTTTTTTTCCGTTTAAAATGTTTCTGTTATCATATTCTAACAACATGCCAAATTTAAAGAAATTGTATTGTACAGTTTTAATTTGCCTATATGTCTATATGAAAACTCCCAAAAATGTCCTTAAAGTGATGGCCTGGTTGATTCACACTACATTTGTCTGGTTGCAAAATTGAGAGATCTAAAGACTTTTGGAGCTTTTAACTTCTTAAATTTTGTCATTTGATATAAATCTAAATAAGAACAAGACCATAGGAGTACTAGGACCAAGTTTTGGCTTTGATTGGCATTTGTCACTTATTCTAATTCATTGCTGGCATTCCAAATGCTAATGACTAAATCAGGATCACCAAGGTATCTGGTAAGTTAAGCTAGCTAAAAAAGTTAACTCTACAAGGAAAATGGCAAAACTGCTTATACTCCACATAAGCATATACAAATATTCTGACATCTGACATCATACACATGTTAAAAAAGTCTAACTTAAGTATAAAACTCAAAATTTAATATAATTTAAAGCCAATGAGTCTGTTTTCCCCAAAGAAAGCCTTGCCAACGAATAGGCAGCTTACGCCATGAAAAAAACAGGGGGGGGGGGGGGGGGGGGTTGCAGACATGCATGTTACCCACAAATTTGTTCAACAAATGTCAAATTGTTTCCAAATCAAAGAAAATTTACACACCAATATATCGATATATACTCCTTATTTCTTGTATATAATTCACTTTCTTACCTTGTAAAATATATGTTCTATTCATACAAATATGTTGTGTCCTGTTTATAAATGTCCTTTGTAGGACAGTCTAGGACTTTTCCCTAACCATTTTTTGTCATCACTGCTATGAAATGTGTCCATTATATCACAACAGCTTGGTGTTGAGACATGGCCACCTGCTTTTGTATATGTTTTGGTCAAATTTTCATGATTCATTAAGACATTAATATAATAAACCAAAATTATCGATTTTTACAAATGCCTATCGATTGGTTGACAGAAAAATATCAACAATACATCAATATCGTCTCTATCAATGACAGCTCTAACACAATGTGCTAACCTAAACAATTATATTTATATTAATTAAAACAGACCATAAAATTTTTTAAGCAGTATGTGCAAATTTATGACTATGTTCAAGCACATTTTTATCTAAGGTTTCCTAAAACAAAGAAGAGTTACATATTTAGTAAGACTATTGTCATTCTGTCTTGACATGAATCACGTGCAATTAAGATTATCCATACTGTAATTAGGATAAACATCTAGCTAATAAAAAATCAATTAAAAGAAAAACCTCCAATTGATAACTTAATCAATTGTAACATTGCAGAAAAAAATTAATTTCATGAAAATTAATAAGCAGTGCATCAAACAGAAATTATAGGTCTGTTTATCTGTTTATATTAAGCAATCAATGAAAATAATTGATTTTATCTGTTATTTATCTGTTTATCATAACTCAATTCCTATAAGATAAGAGTTTATCAGTGTTCATTATCAATGTGGACACAATCTGTCTACAATTACATTCAAAATTCTTACCTAAAAAGAATGAATTCGTTAGACACGAGCAGAATCTCCTTGTGTATCATGTCTCCATTCACAGATAACTCAGTTTCCCACCATCTGTCAAAATCATGAATTGGGAAATCAGCTGATTTTGAAACACACTGATTGGTTGATATCGAAAATAAACAAAAGATAATAAAAAATTGGATATCCTTTTCCTTAAAAAATTAAAAAAGATGATGCTAATATGTTTGTTTGGAATCAAATAAAGGGAAAAGATAAATAAAATTTATATTTAAAAAAATCTCATTTAATTCTTCACCTCGTTCCTTCAATATGTCAGCTTCCATTAGAAATATTGTTACGAAACAAACAGCATCATTATAAAGTTTTCTTTCGATATTCCTAAGGATTTGGAAGGTAATTTTTATCTTTTGTCTACCAAATTTGAAAATTTACTTAATAGGTTTGAAAATCAATCGTATATCTATGTAGATTTCCTGCGGGTTGTAAAATTCTTTTCAGGTCAGTTTAATTGATATCATTCGCACCACTAACGATTCGCCCCTTTTAAAATTTGTACTGCTTCATTGGCAATTTAAACGATAGGTATCGATTTGCTGAACTTATATGTAATTCTGTTCACACATCTTCAATAATTTTTGGTAGGATCAATTGCATTATGATATCATTAAATAAAATTCATATTGCAAGAAGGCAATTTAAGTGAAATAATATTGATCACAGATATATAAACAACAGATAGGAAGCTCCGAAATATACGATAGTCAGATTCAGACCCACAATCCTTTGTGCGCTATGATGATAATCGTGTTTTCCCGCTAGTCTTTAATTTTCGCGCTATCGTTAAACTTTGGCGATATCTGTGAATTTTTGTTTACATTGCCGACAAAGATTTTCATCGGAGAAATATTTGTGTGAAAAAGTGTGTGTTGGACATTTTAGAATAAATAAATATTGCTTCTTATATATGTTTAAAATGCTTCGTCTTTTTTGTCGATGTAACTCCGGGAATTCATTATGGCGGTATTTTGGCTACTTTTACCTGGAGGTAGTCCAACTAATTAGACTTGTCAAAGAGACACCGAGATAATTTTGGACGGGCGCTGTCTTTTTCCAAGTCCAACCACGAACTGCATTTTTATGCACGGACGCTTCCCAATTAGAAGTTGTTGGGAGCGAAAACTAGAAAAGTTTCAAAGAAACGGTATACATTACCTGAACGAGAATCGTTTTTTATGCAAGGTTCCAAATTATCATACTTCAAAGTCGAACAGAAGTCTAAATATTCCACTTTAATTTTTTAATCGTTGAATGTTATTGAAAGCGGCCATATTGGAAAGCGGTGTCATGGTAAATCCATGGTGTAACACAGGTATCGGCGGCGATCGATTGTATTTGCCAAGCTTTATTATACAATTTGTTTATGTTATTTATATGAATTATTGCAGGAATAACTCTTTTATTCACACACAAATATTTCAGCATTAAAAAGAGAATGTGAAAAGAAAATTCTGATAACCTTACTTACAAATTAAATAGTTTATGATGTCAGATCATACTGCATTTAAGTCCGTTTAAATTGTCAAATTAGATATTATTAAGTTGGATTTTTTAACATCTGTGATCATTAGGTGAAATTTCTGAACTACCTTTTTATTTTATAACCCTGCCATGATTTCCCACATACGAAAATACAATGTAATTGTAGGTACATCTTAATGAATTATAATTATAATTATACTATACATGATGAAGCAAAGAAGAATTTCAATTTATATTACACTCCATATCAATTTCTAGTTTATTATCTTTAAAAGAAATTGAGGACGGTTGTGAAGGGGAAGAAGTTCAAAACAACCAAAAATAACTTTAAAATTCCGAAAAAAAAATCTTAAAATTTCAAACTATAAAATGGAATTTCAGACAGTCCTCAGTAAAATACAATTGTCGCACAGATTTGACGGGGTTTATGATAAAAACGCAGCAAGAGGAAATTTAGTGACCGTTATTTAGACGTTGAATAGCATAACAATGTAAGACAGATGGGAGAAATGTTAGAACGACTGTCGCAAAAGGACACCAAAACCTCTGATACCCATTAAAAATTCCATGTTGTCTAGTTCCCGTTGAACGGCACCTCGAATGTGTCACATTGAAAGTTCCATGATTACCGCCGTATTATGTACACATTTGTGGATGTTGATTAAAAATTTCAACATTATTATGTTTAAGTGGTCAATTCTGTTTAAACCGGCGAAAGGGAGCACTTGCACCTACCAGAGCCGTCTTTGGCACTCCTGTGTATTTATGTTTCGATTTTGCAGTTTCAGGCGTTTTTGGTGGGTTTTTTTTTTTGCGAGGGTGAATACATGAATGTGGATAAGTTTTTTCTGTTTCTTTACATTTCTTTGCTTGCTTGCCGAACCTTGTATTGATAATCATTATCTGTTTGTTACGGTTCGGTATACATGTATACAATATGATAAACAAGATGAACAAGGAAAGGCGGCGTTCAATGAACGCAACTCCCACACGACCCAGGAACATGAACCATTGGCAAGGAGCCCAGGATGATTCTAAATTAAAACGGGACAGGGCGCAAGGGAGAGCACGGTCAGGCTTATCACTAAAATGTAACTGAGAAGGAAATCAAAGAAAATAAATAAATGAATGATTAATAGGAGACCACTAAGTTAACGAGCACAGGGGAAGGGGATAGGAAATTCGGGGAGGGGGCGAAATAAAGAAATAAAACTAGGGGCAAAGGGAAGATACTTACCAAAGACGAGAAAACAACAAGGGACACAAACAAAAGTGTCACCAAAACAGTATGAAACAGGACCACTAAGTTAACAGGCACAGGGGAAGGGGATAGGAAATTCGGGGGAGGGGGGCGAAATAAAGAAATAAAACTAGGGGCAAAGGGAAGATACTTACCATAGACGAGAAAACAACAAGGGACACAAACAAAAGTACCACCAAAACAGTATGAAACAACAAGACATACACCTTATACATTTATAAGTCTTAATCTGTTCATTTGAAAAATCTGATCTTCTCAATGACTTTTTTTTAATATCCTATATAAAAAGATTTATTTCAATTAAAATATGTGACCCTTCCTTTATAGTTACACAGCATATGGCTGGATCACAATAAAGTTCCTTTTTAGTAAATTAATAAAGTATGTCAAGAAGACATTTAACTTTATCAATAGGTTTAATATGGTATTATACATCGGCAATCGGTGAAAAAGAGCTCTTGAAATATTATTTGTACAAATACTGAATAATTTGAAGTGTATTTCAAATAGTTTCCTTCAATATTTCTTTTACGTTCTTAATTGTCATATAAATATGCATGTATAAATAAAGTCAGTATTTTATCCGAGAGTGACATTTGGCAGTCATTAGCAGTAAACAAGAAGGCAAACCACCAATTGATAAATGTTGAGTACATGTATTAAAATATTTAAAAAATATTAAACAACAGGACCATTGCATTTTAGGTTAAATACAATGATACTTTTCAATAGTATTTAATAATGCACACATTTATTAAAAAATGATGAATAGATTTATTTCCCCTGATATTTTGTTTAATTTAATCTTCATGCGTAACCCACACTTACCTGCTAGACACACTGGTAGCTACTACCAGCTTTCACGGAATCGATTTTTTACGATGACGTCATAACATGTCCGCCGAAGATAGAGTAGACAGTACAAATGAAATAAATCGCATGTATGCGTTAAGACAGGTACAATCTAATATTTTTTCTAGGAGAAGTTAGTACTAAAATTTATATTCTATTGATCTTTAGAGGTAATTGAAGTTACTTTTAGGTTTAAGCAGTAAAAATCAGTCCAAACTATCGATAGTGTTACCTGTAGATTTTCCGTGCGTAAAAATGACAGTTAAAATTAGGCGTAACGGTTTGACAGTAAGAAAAAAAGTCCGTAAAATGGGTCAAACCGATCACGCCGAATTAATTAGGCTAACCTGGAGGATGCATCAAATCTCACAAAATTCCGTGACATATGATAACTTGTGCGAACACAATTCCGCTGATACTGAATTTAACTGTGTGACGTCACAATTTCTTCTCCATCTATATTTAGCTCCATGATAATATGAAATAAGGCAAAGCCTATTAACAGGGAAGTCTGTAAAAGAAATCCTTTCATTTTTCGTTTTAAAGACCCTTGTGTCATTCGATATTTCATGCGTGGCTTCCGTTTTCACTCGAAACACTCAACGATTATTATTAATCTGAAAATTTGTAATGTTATTGGAATACCCTGCCTATTACCATTGAGTGACTTTGAAAATGGCGGCGCCCAACTAAAACTAACACTGAAAAATTTATTGATGGGTATAGAATTTTATATAATTATGTATAAATTGTTATTTATTTGATTTTATTTAAATGTAGCGGTATTAGTTTGCGAGGTGACTACAGCCCTGAATGATTCGAGCACTGTGCCTAATTTAGCAACAGTAATAACAAAAACAGATCAGATTGATGACATTTAATTTTGTGCAATAAGCTTAAATTTAATTCATAATACATAAATATTCCTGATGTATAATTCATCTTAATATGATTTTATCAAATATAATGTCTGAAGTGTTTACTATCACAACTTAACCATTGGCAGTGTAGCCTATCAAGGTGTTACTATTAACTTTCCTCATGCTTCTTACTGTTACCTTACCACAAATTTGGGACCAGTAACAATACTTATGTCCAATCCAATAAGATAACCACCAATGACAGCAAAGCAATCAGGAGTTTATATTTAACTCACAATATAATGTTTTACATGGTTTTAAAATTTCTCAAAGTATACAAAATTTTTAACAAATCATCAGAATTTCATAATAATGTACTGTTTCAACAATAACAAAAAACAATTTAATATCAAAACTATGTTTAATTTGAAAATAAAATGTTAATTATTATTTCCCTTTATCTTAATGTACAATATCAATGTAAACTTTCAACAATTATATTTGAATCATTATTTCCCTTTATATAATTATATATTTTTGCATGTAAAGAAATTCCAAACTACAAAACTATTACATAGATATACATGTGTAGTCTATAGCAGGGCAAGCCAAAGTCTGGGCCTGCTTCATTGTCCTTGCCTTTGACTTCCTCAGATAAATTAACTTGAAAATTAAGAGCATGGAAAACAGTGTACAGTCCTTGTACGCATGTTTATTGCTGCTGGATGCGTATATTTCAAAGCTTGGATTCTGTATACACTTAATTTTGCCTGAGGATGCCCAACGCATAAACATAATACATACTCCGATCTCCAGCAATTAAAACTAATAGTCTTTAAAGATTTAGGTGTATATATTGCCTCCCTGGTCACCAAAATTTTTCAAAAGTCATCAGATACAGGCACTATTCCCTCTGATGGGACCAAGGCAAACAGCAACGACCCTCCCACCTTCTAAGAAATGCAATAAGTCGGCAAATTACAGACCCATTCCCTTGACATGTGTTCTCTGCAAAACTATGCATCAAACATTACTCTGTACTTTGAGGTCAACAATATTTTATTTGACCTCCAACATGGATTCAGGTCAAAAAGGTTTTGTGAATTTTTAGAATGTGTTGAGGATAGGAAAATAAATACTTATCGTTTGCAACATGAATTTTCATTGGACAGTCTTGATATTTATATTATTTTTGATATTTGGCTGCTAGAGAGAAAGCAACTGTTCTGTATTTGAAATAAACTTTGAAAGGTTTAAATACATTGTATATGACTGCATATAGATAGTTAAATGTTATTGTATAACAAGCTAATTAGTGAAGGCAGGAGGATTTTTTTAAGATTTTTGTGTCGCCTCTACGGGGTAGTGGCGACATATAGGGATCACTTCTCCGTCGTCTGTCTGTCCGTCTGTCTGTCCATCCGTCCGTCACAAAACTTGTCCAGACTACTCCTCATAAACTACTGGTGCAATTTCATCCAAACTTTACAGGAATGATCAGTACCAAGTCTAGTTGTGCATATTGTCAGCATTTTCCGGTTCAATGATTTTTGTCAGAGTTATGGCCCTTTAACAATTTTTAATTTTAAAGTTTGTCCGGACTACTTCTCTTATACCACTAATGCAATTTCAATGAAACTTTACAGGATTGATCTGTAGCTCAAGTCCTTGGGCATATTGCAAGGGTTTTCCGGTTGAATGATTTTTGGCCGAGTTATGGCCCTTTGATAAAAAGGTTTCTTTTTCTGTGTGTTGCCAGATACACAAAAGCTTGTCCGGACTACTCCTCATAAACTACAGGTGCAATTTCATCCAAACTTTACAGGAATGATCAGTACCAAGTCTAGTTGTGCATATTGTCAGCATTTTCCGGTTCAATGATTTTTGTTTGAGTTATGGCCCTTTAATAATTTTTATTTTTAAAGTTTGTCCGGACTACTTCTCTTATACCACTAATGCAATTTCAATGAAACTTTACAGGATTGATCTGTAGCTCAAGTCCTTGGGCATATTGCACGGGTTTTCCGGTTGAATGATTTTTGGCTGAGTTATGGCCCTTTGATAAAAAGGTGTTTTTTTTCTGTGTGTTGCTAGATACGCAAAAGCTTGTCGGGACTACTCCTCATAAACTACTGGTGCAATTTTATCCAAAATTTACAGGAATGATCAGTACCAAGTCTAGTTGTGCACTGTCCGTCTGACTGTCCGTCTGTCACAAAATTTGTCCCAACATGAAATTGGCCATCATGAGGCGACACATGTGATTACTGATCGCTCTTGTTACATTTATTTGTAATGAAATCACTTTTAAGTACTTTAGGAGGGCACAACAAAAATGCCTGTAGATTACTTAAATATGGCAATAAATGTCTCTGCCACCTCCCTCTCTCACACATGACATCCTCTCATAGTGGGTAAAACCAAGAGAGACATTTTTGATTTCATACATTGTCATTTTGTCTGCCTAGATGTCATAAATCTTGTACATTAAAAGTTTTCATTCATTGGTGAATTTAGAAATTATATGTTCACTTTAAACAAATTAACAGAAGATGGCAATGACAGCACCAATAGTGGCAAGGACATATGTTAGATATCATAAGTACCGTACACTTACAAGATGTATGAGTCAGAGAGCCAAGGAGGTGCAGACAAAGGCTTTACTAGATAAAATAATCAGAATAGATCATGCTGGAGAGTTTGGTGCTAAAAGAATTTACCAGGGTCAGCTTGCTATACTGGGCAACACCCCAACAGGACCTATAATACAGGTAAACATGTTATGATCTTTATTTCTCAATAGCTTTTATATCTGTTATCATGTTACAGTGTGTCTTTAAGATAACGCTCAACCATCTTTTGCTTCTGTTCTTTAGTAATACAGTATTTGTATGGATATCAAAACACCATTTTGTTATGTTTAACTTTATTTATTACAAATTATTTCACATTCAGCACTACTTTCTACAAGTTATAAGCCTCTTAGTTTAACATGCTTGAAACCCATTATTAAACTTTATTAAATACATGATTTGCCGCTACTGAAGAAGAAAAAAATATTCATTTCAGAGGCATAATTTGCAATTCAATAATCATATGATAAAAAATTATCTGTCATGAGGTGATAGCATGCCCATGTGGCCAAATGGTTAATATGTCAGAGTAGTATTTTTAATCTAAGGATTGCTGGCTGCATGGGTTCAAACCCTTTCATGCGCAAGCTGTAGTCTCCAGATTCATTGAGCAAGAAAGTTTACACTCAATTTTTAGAACTGGTTGGTTCCAGGAACAGTTTCTTGATAGAGTCTGCAAGCTTCATACACAATCAAACTATTAATATAAATCCTGTATAAACTATATGATCTCTCTGACCTTGAAATGTTACTAAAATCAGTTGTATTTGTAGTCTGTGATACTTTGTAAAAGCAAAGATGGATATAGTCCTTTTGGCACAAAACTGTTTCTATAGCAGTTGTGTAAATTTTATATTGACAAAATTAATGCTGCATTCAGATTTTAGGATGGAAATCTTGAAGCACTCTATAATATATGGTGCATTTTATCTCAATTTCTAACCAGTATGAATTGTTCTATCTTAAACAAAATCATGTAATTAACAATTTTTTGATAGAAATGATGTCAAGAAATTGTAACAATATGATTTTTTTAGTTTGAATTGCCACTTACCTGAATCAGCGCTCTCACCGAGTCCCTGGGACTCAATGCTATATATTGAGTATATAATTTTATGCATGTTTAGAAAGACAAAAATAGAAAATCACAGACTGTATACATTACATAGATTATAAACTGTACATTCAGGAGATGCAGGAAGAAGAAGAGAAGCATCTGGCAGAGTTTGTAAAGTTGATGCGAGATCACCGTGCTAGACCAACTGTACTCTTACCTCTGTGGAATATCGCAGGATTTGCACTTGGTAAATGATTTTGTACACATGTTAAAGTGTAGAAAGCTGCAAAATTTAGTAAAAAGGAAAAGAGTTTTTAAATTTTTGTTAGAGTGAATTTCACATGCACAATATCATTGCCTTAAGGTTAAAACCCTATTTAAAACAGCAGCATAGTATTTTGTTCTGGAACATATTATTCTGTTTACGTACACTTTTTATGTGTAAAACACACAAGACATATATGTTACAACTTTTGAGAATCAACCATTATAATATTATAGCTTTATGCCCTTTATTGATAACTATATCTCTTCCTAGTTTGCTATTTCTTATCCCATTTTATATAGTTTAAATTATCTCCTCATTTGCTTGAACTGACAGTGTTATAGAAGCATGTTTTATAATGTATGATTGGTTTTCTATGTGAACTGTTGTAGTTTTAGCAAGGCACCTGGTTAAGGTTTGATTTAATGATTGAGTTTGTATGAGAATTGAGACCTCATTTGTTGTCATTATTTATTACTATAAATCTGTTGGGGCTAGACTGTGTATCAGTCTGGGAGATTTTAGTATGGTACTAACTCTGTCAACGGGTACCTGCATAAATTAATGGACAGGAGGCCTGCAATTGTTGTGTTTAGGGAACTCAATCATTGGTTACCATCATAAATATTCCAGGAATCAGTCTGTTTGTTTCTGGTACAGTTACTTGATCAACACTTGTCGTCATAAATATTGAAAGCTTAGATTTGTTAATTAACACTAGGGTAACCTCCAAATATGGAGAGACAATGTATTTCATATAAATACTGGGACAAGATTTTCTAGGGGCATTCTAGATTGAAGATTGAAGAACGAGATTCAAAATGCAAGAGTAAGATTGTAAGAGCTAGAGTCGGGATAGGGATTTTTGAGAGTTAATTCTCAGTGACTTATCAACTTTGTGTGAGGAAGAAAAACTCTGTAACTTTAATTATTAATTGTAGAGTAGAAATTTAGAACATTTTCAACAAATAAACAGTGAAATGAAATTAAGAACAGTTATTGTGTATTTTTATGTGAAATTATGGAAGTAGTATAAATTATAAATTACGGGAGAAGAGAATTTATAACACTGGTGGCAGCGGTGGGATTTTTGGACTTTAACACGTTTAGAAAAGATTTTAAAGTGACTATCTGAAGAGACATTTATTTGAACTGTACATTATAAAATTAATAAAATGGGACCAAAGAAACAAACCGGTGCAGCTTCAATTATTGTGGAAGAACAATTCGGTGATAATGTTTTATCAAAAACTCAGTTATTACATGAAAAAACTGAAAATTGCAGAAGAAGAAAACAGAAAATTAGAAGTAGTTATTAGAAAAACAGAGCAAGAAGCCATGTTACAGAGAGATAAAATTGTGAATCATTATCTACAGAGGATTAATGACATAGATGGATTATTAATTATAGTTGATTAATAGGATAAGACTTTAATAAAAAAATTTTTTTAAAATTTTTTTTAAAAAAAAAGGGGAAAAAACCCCAAAAAAATTTTTTAAAAAAAAAAACCCCCCCCCCAAAAAATTTTTTTTTTGGGGTTTAAAAAAATTTTTTTTTTTTTAAAAAAATTTTTTTTTGGGGAAACTTCCAAAAAAATTTTTAAAAATTTTTTTTTTTAAAAAATTAACCCCCCCCAAAAAATTTTTTTAAAAAAAATTTAAAAAACCTTAAAAAATTTTTAAAAATTAAAAAATTTAAAAAAGGGGAAAAAAAAAAAAATTTTTAAAAAAGGGGGAAAAAGGGGGGGGTTTAATTTTTTTTTTAAAAACCCTTTTTAAAAAACCGGTTTTTAATTATTTTTTTTAAATTTCCCCCTTTTTAAAAAAACCAAAAAAAAAAAAAAAATTTTTTTAAAAAGGGAAAAAAAATTAAAAAAATTAAAAAAAAAGGGTTTAAAATGGGGGGGGGGGCCCTTTAAAAAAAAAAAAAAAAAAAAATTAAAACCATTTTTAAAAAAAAAAAAAAAAGGGAAAAAAAACAAAAAAAAAAAAAAAAATTCGGGAAAATTTTAAAAAAAATTTTAAAAAAAAAAAGGGGGAAAGAAAAAACCCGGAAAAAAAAAAAAAAGAAAAAAAAAAAAAAAATTTCAAAAAAAAAAACCCAAAACCAAAAAAATTTTTAAAAAAAAAAATTTTAAAAAATTAAAAAAAAGGGAAAAAAAAAAAAATTTTTTAAAAAAAGGAAAAAAAATTTTTTTAAAAAAAAAAATCCAAAGGGTTTTAAAATTTTAAATAAAAAAAAAAAAAAAAAAAAAAAAAAGGGAAAAAAAAAAAAAAAGGCCCCCTTTTTTTTGGGAAAAAAAAAAGGGGAAATAAAGGGGGTTTTTAAAACCCATAAAAAAAAAATTCCCAAAAAAAAAAAAAAAAAAAAAAAGGGGGTTTTTTTAAAAATTTTAAAAAAAAAAAATTTTTTTTAAAAAAAAAAAAAGGGGAAAAAAATTTTAAAAATAAAAAAAAAAATTTTTTAAAATTAAAAAAATTAATTTAAAAAAAAAAAAGGAAAAAAAAAAAGGGGGGGGGGAAAAAAAAAAAAATTTTTTTTAAAAAAAAAACCCTTGGGGGGAAATTTTTGGGTTTTTTTAAAAAACCCCCAAATTTTTTTTTAAAAAAATTGGAAAAAATGTTTTTTCCCCCCCCAAAAAAAAAAAACCCCCCAAAATTTTTTGGGGGGAAAAGAAAAAAGGTGGGGAAAAAAAAAAAGCTTTTTTTTTAAAAAAAAAAGGGGAAATTTTTTTAAAAAAAATTTGGGGGTTTTTTTAAAAATTTCCCCAAAAAAAAAAAAAAACCCCAAAAAAAAATTTTTTTTAAAAAAAAAAAAAAAAAAAAACCCCCCCTTAAAAAGGGAAAAAAAAAATTTTTTTAAAAAACCAAAATTTTTTTTTTTTTTAAAACCCCCAAAAAAAAAAAAACCCCCTTTTTCCCCCTTTTTTTTGGAAAGCCTTTCCATTTTGAAAAAAACCAAAAAAAGGAAAAAAATTTCCGGGGGGGGAAAAAGGGGTTTTTTTTTGGGGGAAAATTTTTTCCAAAAAATTTTGGATTTTTTTAAAAAAAAATTTTTTTTTTTCCAAAAAAAAAAAAGGGGGGTTTTTTGGGTTTGGGAACCGGGGGAAAAAAAAAAAAAAGGGGGGGGAAAAAAATTTTTTCGGGAAAAATTTGGGAAAAGGGGTTTTTTTTTTTAAAAATTTTAAACCCCCCAAAAAAGGGGCCCCCCGGGAAAAAATTTTTTTAAAAAAAAAAAAAAAAAACCCCCCCCAAAAAAAATTAAAAAAAAATTTGGGGGAAAAAATTTTTTTAAAAAAGGGATTTGGCTGTTTTAAAAAAAGTTTAAAAGTATTCTCAACACAAAAGAGGGGGCTTTTCTTCTCAAATTTTTCCAAAAATTTTACAAAAAAAGATTTTTTGGGATCTACACATGGGCTCAGTTAAAAAGGCGCTCATTTGGGAATTTCAAAAAAATTTTCAAAAAAAAAAATGCAAGTTTTTTTTGTTTAAGCTAAAGGGTTTCCCGGGGGTCGGAAAAATTTAAAAAATAAAGCCCAAAGGGAGAAAAAGTTTTATTTCTAAAACCCATCATCAAAAAAGCCCCCTTTTTGGTCACATATGGGGGGGTTTAGCACTGATAAAAAAGGAGAGATAATGGCCCTGTGGAAAACATGCATCATGATATTTGAAAAAATTAACATGGAAATTAAATGACAAATTGGCAATCAAACATGGCAAGGATCAAACAAGAATAACAATAAAATTACAAATCAAAGAAACTAAGACAATGCAGAAGATGGCATCTGAATAAGATTTTCAACAAGTTAGAAGAGGTAAAAGGAATAGGACTCAACACATACCTTACCAGCACAGAACATAAAGATCATAAAGAATCATCATGTAAAATATCTTTCAATAAGTTTTTGATTTCAAAGGAGTACATGTTGGGTATATAAGGGTACTCTGAGATTTTGCAGTCATTTCGGAGTTTTCGACTATTCAGAATTGTGTAGGGAATTAATATTGGAATAATATGACAGTGTAAAGAAAATAGTGAAAAAAGAGGAATTTTAAACGTTGTTCTTACAAAAAATATATATTGGATATAAAACACAATCGGAATTAATTTGTGATTAGTTCAAATTGGAATATTAATTTGTTATTCATTTCAAAATTGGAATATTAATTTGTGATTCATTCTGAATTGGAATATTAACTTGTGATTCTTTTCAATTGGAATATAATTGTGTGATTCTGGTTTAAATTGGATTTTAAAGTGTTTTATTTTCAGTTTAACAATCAGTGCCATTTTCTAATTTCAACTATGTTATATATAAATATTAAGTTTAATATTTTGGCACTTATGACTCTATGGTAGAGACGACTACCAAACAAATCTTATATTCAGTTTGTGCCTTTTAAGAATTCTTTCACATTTGTTAAAATTTATTAAGAAATAAATAGGCACCAGGACTTAGTGTGCAAGAAATAGACAATGTGTGAAAGATTGAATTAGGATATATTATTGTGAAATAGAAAAAAAGGACAACAGAACAATTATATTATATAATTGAGTGACAAAATAAGTTTCATTTTGATATTAAAACACGGTGTTAAAAGTTGAATAACTGTTTAAGAACTTTAATTAGTTTGTTTTGAGTATTCAATGTATAATTGTAGTCAGAAAAAAAAATTGTCGTTAAAAGAAGTAACATTTCTGTATATTTAGTATTTTCTTAGAATTTCGTATTTGAATAATGCTTATTTTAGTTAATGCAGTGTTTATATGTTAATTGAGAATGTTTTATTGTTAAACTTCTATTCATTTTGGGAGTAAGATTGGTTGAATAGTCACTGATTTTTGTTTCATTTCTATATTTTTGTTTGGTGTTATTAACTTAATTGGGACAATTAAGCTTTTTAAGGTTGGGGGAGTGTTGTAGTTTTAGCAAGGCACCTGGTTAAGGTTTGATTTAATGATTGAGTTTGTATGAGAATTGAGACCTCATTTGTTGTCATTATTTATTACTATAAATCTGTTGGGGCTAGACTGTGTATCAGTCTGGGAGATTTTAGTTTGGTATCTCTGTCAACGGGTACCTGCATAAATTAATGGACAGGAGGCCTGCAATTGTTGTGTTTAGGGAACTCAATCATTGGTTACCATCATAAATATTCCAGGAATCAGTCTGTTTGTTTCTGGTACAGTTACTTGATCAACACTTGTCGTCATAAATATTGAAAGCTTAGATTTGTCAATTAACACTAGGGTAACCTCCAAATATGGAGAGACAATGTATTTCATATAAATACTGGGACAAGATTTTCTAGGGGCAGTCTAGATTGAAGATTGAAGAACGAGATTCAAAATGCAAGAGTAAGATTGTAAGAGCTAGAGTCGGGATAGGGATTTTTGAGAGTTAATTCTCAGTGACTTATCAACCATGTGTGAGGAAGAAAAACTCTGTAACTTTAATTATTAATTGTAGAGTAGAAATTTAGAACATTTTATAACAAATAAACAGTGAAATGAAATTAAGAACAGTTATTGTGTATATTTTATGTGGAATTATGGAAGTAGTAGAAATTATAAATTACAAGAGAGAAGAATTTATAACAGAACATCTGCTTGGTCTTTATAAGTTTATGAAGAGATTCAACTTAACATGTTCAATATCAAAATCAAGTGGTTAGGACTAAAATTATTATCAGCACCACCAGCACAATGGAGATTAAAGAAAACACAATATTTTTTGTGGAAATCTACAATGCCCTGAGTTTATATATTTAGTATGTAGCATACTGGATGAAAACTTATGACAAAGTAACATTTACATGTATATAAAGTGTTTGTTTTTCAGGAGCTGGGTCTGCATTGCTTGGTAAAGAGGGAGCTATGGCATGTACAGTAGCTGTGGAGTCTGTAATTGGTCAACATTATAATGAGTGAGCAAATACTCTCATATAATTTTATGATGTTTGTTAATATTAATTTTTTATATTTTTTTATTTTTAATTAACGGCTAAGTATATAAAAAATTTGAAACTTTACTTGAAATTAAATAAATATTCAATTTTAACATTTTACAAAGAAATTTTGCAAGATAAAAAATGTTACTATGGTGGGAATTGAAAAGTTTTAACATCCAGTAACACTCTAGAGAATGTTTTATCTCTCTAAAAAGAATGCAGTATTGTATAAGATAATAGTAATGAGAAAACTTGATTAATAAATATGTGAAACCTGTACCAATAAATCATTGTTTTCTCTCCTTAAAAGATATACCTGGTATGTTTATTTAGCTAGTTAAGAGATAAGTTCATCCACTTTCGTATTTCCTGTATGATTAATGTGTCTACCATTGATAAAGAAGTCTTATAATTAACATTATCTATGAGTACATTAATGTGATCAAACTAAAACTTCCTGTTTTATTAATGGTCCCAGTTCACTGTTTTTATAGTGCAGAA